ATTCTGATGTAAGCTTCACTGCAGAATTTCTTGAACAATTCAGCTTTCAGTCTATATCAAAGAACTGAGCTGTATTCAAATATACACTCTGATATCTACAGAGTTCAATCAATGAGAGAATAATCTATCACAGAGATGCTGATATTGAATCTGTAGTATATACAGCTACTGATTGAGCTGATAGAAATTCAGAATCTTGTTCAATCACTGATTATATCATTTATATGACAGATGACTCTGTTACATGACAGAGCTGTCAGCAAACTGAGGTCTTTAAATCATGAACAGAGGCTGAATATATTGCATTCTCTGAGATCATATATGAGCTTATCTGTCTCTGAGAGCTTTTAAAAGATGCTGAATTCATTTCATTTCATCTTAATAATCTGAATACTGATAATCATCTCATTTCTATCACAGTTAATAATTGTGGCGGGCTGTGCCTGATCAGTTATATAGACTATTCTGTTACACTTCATAGATTCTTCCGTTCACTATTGAACACATACACTCTGATTCTCAGCTATTCTCAATCGCCGATTCTCAGCTGTTATGAACGCGTATAGATTCTTCCGCTCTGAAGCTTCACTGTATATATCATTATATACATGTATAAATATTCACTCTGATCACTGATTTTTACACTTTCTCTTTCTTTTCCTTCTTTAACATTTTTCTCTTTGTTATATAAGACCTATTAACATCATACTGATTTATTCGGTGTAGGCCTCTTATAATAATCTACTTATACAATTCATACTAGACTAGTCACTGAGATCATAAATTTCACATTTAATCTCATTTAATCTGATCTTATACATTTCTTAGTATGAATCTCACTGAAACTAATCATTTAAAAAACATGTAAAGTGACTATATATCAAATCTTAAAATAAGATTGTAACTTAGAAAAAATAAGAAAATAATCTTATTTAATCTTATTTAGTCTCATTCTTGATATAAAGTTACTATTTTTAGACATTTTAAGGTTTTTTTTAGCCTATTTTTAATTTTTTAAAAAGTAATGCTTTTTAATAATACTCAAATGAGATTTAAAGTCATTTCAAGTAATAAAAATAATTTAAATTAGAAAGTGAAAATCATAATCTTATTTAAAAAATATGATAAGAGTAGACAGTAAGTCTCACTGAGACAGTATGAAACTACTATATAATCTTAAAACTATGTAATGAGATTAGTTGAATTGATAATAAAACTATCAAATATTCTGATTCTGATCTTAGACACAGTCACACAGTCAGTCTAATTCATACTGATAATAAGTCTGTTATAGAGCTATTCTCTTTCAAAGCAATTTCACACTGCTTGAATTATATAGAGGTTTATTTTCACATTCTTAAGAATCTTGTTTACAAGAATGAGATATTAATTTAATATGTTTCATCTGCTGAGAACATGATGAATGAGCTAACTAAATCACTTGAAGCAATGAAATATACACATTGAAAGAAGAATATAAAGAAAATAGAAGAATAGAGGGATAAAAAATGATATATTTCATGACTGATTTTTCATTACTACATATTTTCCAGTCATTTTTTGTACCTGTACTTGATTTGAAGGCGAATTTTGTATATAGCATAGTGTATAGTTACTCTGGTGAGTGGGGGTGTCAGGTCATATGATCTGGCTTACTAATCCTTCCACCATATAACTTTCCACAAGCTAGCAACCTTTCAATCACACAAGCTTTACACCTTCCACAGGTCTTTGTTGAGTCCTCAGGGGGAGAACGGGGTTTCAAACGGTGTTCCTGTTGAGCCACAGCCGCTTTGGGTACTGTCCATACGTTGGCAAAGTAGTGTAGTCTCTTTTCGAAGGGTTTATATGACGCACGAAGAATATTTATGAATGGCGTTTGAAATGTTGATCACAGCGGTGCCAGCACCCACTATCCCAAATGCTACCAACACCGGCGTGACACACTATGGAGTTTGCTTTGTGCCATTCTTCAAGCATGATAACCACGGTCCGTAAAACCCGACGACATACAGATTAATGGTTTAGCTAGTATGTGCTTATTGGAGGTAGTACTAGGCGACTACCCACTAATATCGAAAAGAAGGTGGTGACACTTCGTGGGCAAAGAACACCTGCACGATGGCAGAGCATGGTGCTAGAACGAGTCTTCGACAGGAATAAAAACGAACAACACGACAAAACTCCTCATTCCAGGTTCCCATTCTACCAATCGAATTAAATCCGAAGGAGAAAAGGAGAATTTCGGAAAGAACATCAGATAACACACTCTGTTACGCTGTATCAGCCTCGCCTGGGGTCTCACCGAACAGCCACATCTAACTCCTACATGGCTGAGACCAGTCTAGGACAATCCAGCAGGAGCGCCCCGGTGGATTGTGTACCATGAGAAACAGACACATAATCCCCCCAAGGCCGGATTGATATACCAATAGCACCTGGAGTATGAAGAGGGCGAAGCAGTGAAGGGTAAGGGCCTGGTGTCAAAGGTCGAATATATAGTAATATTTCCTGCTATTTATGTCGAAGCATAAATCAAGGATTACATCAATTTGCCAGGTCATTCATAATCCTCCATCTGTATTATATCATCTCAGTCCAGAAAATGTCATCCACCTGCACCCCCTTTTCCCCTCAGCAAACCACATCCCGCCCCTAATATAGAGGTCCTGGGTTCCCTCTAACTACATTTTATCAGACCACTCTCTGCTCAGAGTATCGTGCCCATATTCACGTGAACAGCTTTGGTCTGCGAATATGCCTCCAAACCAGCCTCACCCAACTCGCGACCAATCCCACTCTGCTTCACTCCACCAAATGCAACACGGAAATCGCTATCGTTGCTGCTATTAATCCAAACCATGCCAGCTTCAATCTCACTCGCAACATAATGGGCACGCTGAATGTCTCGAGTAAACACTGCTGCGCCAAGACCATACGTTGTATCGTTTGCTTTGGCGATAGCCTCTTCTTGAGTCTTGAAACTCGCGATAGCAACAAATGGGCCGAAGACCTCTTCGCGGTAGATGGTCATGTTGTCCGTGACGTTTGTGAAAATAGTGGGCTCGATGAAGAAGCCCTTGCCATCCCCGACATTCTTATGGGGTGCACCGCCAGCAGCTAGCGTAGCACCTTCGGCTTTACCAGTCTCGATATACGAAAGCACGCGGTCGTATTGAGCCTTCGTGACCTGGGGGCCTTGGAAAGTGTCATCGGAAAACGGATTGCCGACTTTGCTTGTGGACGCGACGACGTCCTTGAACAACGCAACGAACTTGTCATAGATGGAGTCTTGGACCAGGATTCGTGAGGTAGCCGTGCATATCTGGCCCATGTTGGACATAATCCCGATATGTGCCCACTTAGCAGCTTGTTCCAGATCAGCATCCTCGAACACGAGGAGGGGCGATTTCCCACCGGTTTCAAGGGTGATGTTCTTGAGATTTGCGGCAGCCATTTTCATGATTTGTCGGCCAGTGGCAGTGGATCCAGTGAAGGCGATTTTATCAATGTCGGGATGAGTTGCGATTGCCGCTCCAGCATCTTTGCCAAAGCCATTGAGAATGTTCACCACGCCAGGAGGGAAGCCAGCGTCTTTAATAAGGGTCGCGAAATAGAGAATGCTAAGGGGCGTCTGCTCTGCTGCCTTTAGGACGATAGTATTTCCGCAGGCCAAGGCAGGACCTAGTTTCCATGCTGCCATTGCAAGAGGATAGTTCCAAGGAATGATCTGTCCAACTACGCCTATTGGCTGTCGTAAAGTGTAGGCGAATTTGGCGGGCGTGGTGCTGATGGTGCTGCCATGTATTTTGTCGGCGAATCCACCATAGTATCTCAGGGTCTCCGAAACCTCCGCACAGTCTTCATCACGAGCAACGGTATATGGCTTGCCTAGATACATAGCATGAGTACAAAATGATCAGTGGGAAATAAATCCTGTCCTCGGACTAAGGTGCTGAGGGGGGTCTCCTTCATAGTCTCTGTCTGAAATAGGAGAATCAAAGGAAGAAAAAGAGTAATAATAATATACAAAATGATCAGAGCCATTTCAAATCAAAGGATATCCTAGAGCAGATCCCTTACCATTGTCCCAAGCCTCAATTGTAGCCAAGGTTTCCTTGTGCTGGTCAACAAGTTCGGAAAGCTTGACCATTAACTTTCCTCTGTCTGTTGCCGAAAGGCCTTTCCACGAGGGATCTTTGAGTGCTTTGCGTGCAGCCTTTACAGCAATATCCACATCTTCCGCGCCTGCAGCCTGTACGGAAGCAATCTCAGACTCATCACTAAACCCCCTCCCGCATCAGCAATTATATTCCATCTGAAGTTCCCATCGGGCTAGACAGAATGAGGGGTTAACCAACGTTGGATTGATTGACGTGATTTTCTGTCCGGTCTTGGCGGCCACGAATTCATTGTTAATAAACAATCCTAGCGGCTGTGTGTATTTACGGCCGTTTGGCGCAGTGAGCTCTATAGAGAGACCGGACATTGTGAAAGGAGTGCTGGAGAAATATCGGGCAATAAAAGCTGTATTTGACCACGGGTAGCGTAGCTTTCGCAGAGGAAGACTTCGGAATTGCCGGGTGCGGAAAAACATGGGCTTAAATATACCGTGTAGAAAGAAGAGGGGGTTGATGTCGTCTGCGGTATACTACTACACTGAGGGGGGGTCAAAATCCCATATTTCGCCCCGACAAAATACGGCAAAAACCTCGCCCAGTGCCGTCGAACTAGCTTCATTCCCGGGCCGATTTGTAATTGAGTCCTCGATGTTTGCACCGTTTGGAGATCTCGGCACGCGCGTTGGTAGCTTGATCCAGAACAAGAAAAAAATCCAGCCGAAATTTCGCATCTCGCTCAACACCTTTTTCTCGACATATTTCCTTATATCCTACGACCGTATCAAGCTTGCACTTGGGCTCGTCTATCTTTCGCCGTCCCTCACCCCGGCTACTGCCGCTCCAATTCCTCCTAACCCTTTCTCTCTTACCTGTTTAGCCATGGTGGAAATGGAAACAGATCCCGACCTGGATGTCCAACCTGACTCCCATATCGATCAAGCCGTCTCCATCGATTACTGGAATTCAGTTCCAGCCACCGCCAATGGAATGCTTGGCGGCTACCCGCAAATCTCCTCCATTGACCTTCGCGGGTCATCTACCTTTCTAGCAAAAGTTCGTCGATTAATTCCATCCAGCGGCTCGGGGGAGCTTGCGCTGGGCGTCGATTGCGGGGCTGGCATCGGTAGGGTCACTGAGGGCTTCCTAAGCAGAGTGTGCGGAACCGTGGACATCGTGGAGCCGGTTGAGAAGTTCGTTGACGTCATTAAACGCGGGAAGCTTTACCAGGAAGGGAAAATTGGCGACATTTATATCACTGGCATTCAGGATTGGACGCCTACCAAGCGCTATGACTTAATCTGGACCCAGTGGTGCGCGAATCATCTTACGGATGCGCAGTTGGTGGAATATCTCGTCCGGTGCAAAGGTGCGCTCTCTGAAAAGGGGTTGCTGGTTCTCAAGGAAAATCTCAACTCGGACACTGCAAATGACTACTATGATGCTGTGGATAGCACGGTTACTAGAACTGAAAGTAAATTTAAAAAGTTGTTTGCGGAGGCTGGGCTTAAAGTGCTGAGGTCAGAGGAACAAAGTGGGATGCCTCAACGGCTGCAGTTGTTGCCGATTAGACTCTGGGCTTTGCGCCCAACAACTTGAAAGATATCCAATATGTGGCCGGTGCTGTATAAAGAGAATTCGTGATTCCGCAGCTACAGGCATCAGCCTACGGTGCCAGAAGGCTGGTGGTTCTCCTCGTACATATCCTGAAATATACAAACCTGAGCCAGGAGGCTAGGGGCCAAAACGTTTAACAGATTGAGGTCTTAAAATTGCAAATAAGGCCTTTGCTGGGCAATCGGGGTGATAAATATATGGGCTGATCTTACGATAGTTGGATAATGAGTTTCCGTAACAAATGGAACGGATTCACCAAGACAAACTTAGAAAGTATTATACCGCAGTTTATGCCAAGTACATATTGTGGCGGACATATTACTTGCGAAAACAGAATTTTCCCAGCCCCCCCTGAAAATTAGTAGCAAAACACCACCAAAAAATCAAAATATCCACATTTCTCTAGAATCATTCAATATCATCCAATACGCATCTTTTTCAATCAAATATCATTCAAATATATGTCTTTCTTACCTTTATCATCAATATGTCACCTCAACTCTGTGATTTCACCATCAACAAGATTGTACACCTTCTTAAGAATGATTATATATCTGCTGAGATCATGTGAAGCATTGATTATCATCTGTGTATATTGAATTCAATGAAATCTTCACTGTTTTGAAACTGCTAGAGAATGTCAAAGATCATATCAGATATCTCTTCAATTCTGAAGAGATTTGATGGAGATTTTGAAGCTTTTTTACATCATACAGTTGAGAACTTCATAAGAGAAAAAGATATAAAAGAATATTTCAGATCTACTTATATAGAATAGTATTATAATAATTAGAAAGATTCAGATTACAATTCATTATAATATAAATTTAGAAGTGAAAGCAGTATGAGATCTGTTCTCATCACTATAAATAGTGAATAAAGATGATGAATTTCTGCAATTTTGTCTGTTATAATGGACTTTTTAACTCATCTCTTATAATTTGAAATATACTCTTGTCAATATTCATATGAAGCAACTGTTCCCTTGTCAATCAATTGAAGTATTCATCAAATTGAGGTATTGGACTGCTTTGAATTGGAGATGGAACAGCGGATTCGATGGAAGATTTCAACAGTGTATTCGATGGAAGATTCAACGGCGGATTCGATGGAAGATTTCAACAGCGGATTCGATGGAAGATTTCAACAGTGTATTTGATGGAAGATTCAACGGTGGATTCGATGGAAGATTTCAACAGTGTATTTGATGGAAGATTTCAACAGTGTATTCGATGGAAGATTCAACGGCGGATTTGATGGAAGATTCAACGGTGGATTCGATGGAAGATTTCAACAGTGTATTCGATGGAAGATTCAACGGTGGATTTGATGGAAGATTCAACAGCAGATCTGAATGTGGATGATAATGAGATTGTGAATTCAGTTCTTCTATTCCTTTCATCATATATTTTATCATCATCACATTGATTATCTCACTTGAGAATGTCATATTGAATGAAGTTGAAGCTGCCAGAGCTGAAGGAGAGAATATAATCACTGACATTTGAGAGATCTGTATAGAAGAATTGATTGTAGAAATTATAGATTCATTCTTCTGATTCTTCTTCTTCTTTCTACTCATTAATCATTTTGTCATCTCTCTTATTCTTTATCTCATTGATAATCACCTGTTCATACAATCTGTATGAGATGTCAGACTCAGGTGTAGAGATTCGCGGATATCAAGGATTCTCAGACTGAGTCTCTATATTCTTCTCATTCATCTGCTCCTCTATCTCATCATTGACTGGATCCTCTCCATTATCCAGAACTTCTGGAACAGGTAGTTTGGGGAGACTGAGGCGCAGGATAGGAGTCTTTGTACAGGCTTGCAAAGCAGCAGGACAGCAGGCATTGTGAGGCATATTGAAAAAAGGGTTGATTGATATATGTGGATTTGATGATAAAGGTAAGAAAGACGCGTATTTGGATGATATTTGATTGAAAAAGACATGTATTGGATGATATTGAATGATTCTAGAGAAATGCGGATATTTTGATTTTTTGGTGGTGTTTTGCTACTAATTTTCAGGGGGGGCTGGGAAAATTCTGTTTTCGCAAGTAATATGTCCGCCACAATATGACAAATTCCGAAACGTTAGGAGCCAGCCTCCCGAGTCAAACAGAAAGTCGATTGAAATTTCCCCCTCACTCCTCTCCAGCCAAACCCATGATGAATCTCCACTCCTTACCATTCACGGCAGACACGCTTAACCGCGATTGCTTCATCATCTGCATATTCTCTAACGGTCCGCCTGGTTTCGCAAACGACTTCAGCTCAGCCAGTGTGATAAGATCCCTGAATTTTCGCCTGAACTCCACGTGAACAAGTTCCCATTTAGGATTCTCGCGGTTCGACTTTGGATCGTAATATGGGTGTGCGGGGTCGAATGCCGATTCTTTTACAAGTCGTAAGCGGGAAGAAAAAATGAATTAGTCGCGGCATTTTCAGGTATAATGTGCAGCTTCTATGCTGCGTATACGTACCGTCGACAGAATGTTCCCGGACAATTTCCATGATTCCAGCTATTCCAGGAACCTTGCAGTTTGAATGATAAAAGAATGCCAAATCTCCTTTCTTCATGGCGCGCATGTTATTTCGCGCTATTGGGTTGTTCCTTTTTTAGTCTTCTCAATTGTGAATAATATGATGATGCTAGATATAAAATGTCAAGGCATGCATACCAGTTGGGTTTCGTACGCCTTTTATAAAACATTTCATCAGCATATAACCCAACAATCACCGACATACCCAGGAAATGTTGGTTTTTGGGGGGACGCGGGATATAATAATGAGGATCTTACCGTCCCAAGGCTCTGGCTCACTCGCCCCTCGCAAATCATCGATAGAGAACCTGACATCGATGCCCTTCTCTATCCTTGATTCCGGTTCTGCTTTCATCAGCCAGTGGGATTTCGTGTCGTCTGCTTCATCCTGGGTCTCATCTACTGTGTTTTTGTTTTTTGGTTCGGTCTCTATGCCGTTCAATGATACAACAGCTCCAGATCCATGTTGTTTTGCCTTTGTTGTAGCTGATTGCACACATTTATTAGCTTTTTGTTTGGTACCTGGAGCAGATGAAGTTACGGAGTCTGCTGTTATTCCGGATGGGGGTTTAGGTCGTTAGTTTATATGATAATATTTTCATTCCCAATGGATAAATAGGAATATAAGAAGCGTCAGGAGACACCACGAAGCAAATCTTTTTGACTAGAGCATAAATAAGAAGAAGGTTTTGACTGCCTATTGAGGGAGAGCCACCTGGGCAAGAAATCGGCAACCCCCGAAACGGGTAACGGAAGGATAGGACCTCGAAATGAAAATGGAGACTCTAAGAGAAGATAAAAACGAAATGATCTAACCTTCTTCCTGTTTCGTTTTCCCGGCATTGGCACCGCTGGCCCGTTTCCTAATACCTTCGGACGGCTCTGATGCTGAGTATTCCTTTCCAGCGTGCGCGCGACTAGCGCGTTTAGGTCGCGAAGAGGCAGCCGTTTGTGCTACAGGTGAAACAGGGTTCCGGCTACTCAATCGTGGCTTTTTGGCATCATTTTGACTAAGTTCGTTGGGCGTAGCGGTCGCGACAACAGTCGTCGATTGGCGCCGTTTTGGAGGCATTGGTCTTCTCAGGAGGGAATGGGGTGGATGTGTTGGTTTGATTCCCACCCTATGAGGTATGAGAATTGAGCGGCAATTGCTGAGATATCGAGAATACTGTACAACGGAAATATGCATATATCGATCTATAATTTTCATGCGATGAATCCGTGACATGTATATATATGCTTTTGACCCTTTTGCGCGAGAGTTAGGGAAGAACGAATGAGACTGAAAATTGAACCGCCGTGGCGATACCACGTGAAAGCGCGCCCAAGCTTGTTGTATGGAGTAGTTAACTAGTTAAATATGCACTAAATCAATGCCACATTTGCTATGTTTTGCTTCTTTTTTCTATTTTTCTTCTCTTTCTCTGGATCATTATCCGATTGTCCATCTCGTTCATACACCGTTATTCCATAATTCTCCCTATATACGATTGTTGCTGAGACATTGTTTGCCGTTCAAGCTATCCCTTACTATACCTACCTTCCGATAGTGCAACCGTTGGGGCCGCATACATCATGATACATAACATGGGGCCGGGGTGGGTGAGGGCTTTGCTATCAATCTTCTTTCTACAGAGTACACCGATCGATATTACTGAGGATTTATTAATCCGGAGTCTGATTATTAGTTGTATTCAATGTTTGAAGAGCAAGGGCTAACAGTTGCAAAGATCCCTCCTCTACATGCTAACTTACATACAATGGAGGACCGACTGAAATCCATGGATCCAAGCATGTGCGCCGGATGGGGGCTGGCTGGACCAGCGCAAACCTGTTGTTTCGGCCGGCAAACGATGGCGGCAAAGCTTCCCACCAAAGCTTGTTCGATTCGCCAATTAATGCTTGCCTTCCTATTGGGAACGAAAGTGGAGGTGAGTAGTGCGCTGGACTTACTCCTCAAGGGTCAAGAAGGATGGTTGGAGGGGAAAAAATCATTACAATACTAATAAGAACAAAATAAGCAAAATACCGTCTCACTCTCCTACGTACAGCACATGTCCTTCTAGCTGTGCCTTTACTCTTGCTCATGCCATCCATTCTTGCTATTGGAAGTGCTTCAAAAACACTACTCCGAAATGCCGGATAGGATAGCCAGCATCCCATCCCCGCAAATTAACAGGAGTATTGCCCCAGCGGCCCTGCCAGATTCTGGTGCGGAGAAGGGCCTGAACCCTCCACAGGCCACGGCAAATGGAAACCTCGAGAAAAACGCTCCCGGCCTCACTTCGACACAATCATCATCACCAGCAGGGCGGCACAATAAAGAAGAAGCAGAAGAAGTACTTCAATATCACTACCTTACCTTCGGCACTTCCCTACCACCACCTACGGGCATCTCATCCCCCACTAGCCCAGGTCAGCAAGCAGCCCCCGAACAACCTGATCTACGACCATTTATTTCCCCATTTACATGGCGGAATTCACGCTAGGGGGTAGTAACGGCGCTGTCATGCCTTGTTACGTCTCTGAGTGCGATGGCGGCGGGGATGTATAGCCCGCCTGAAAAGATACTCACGGAGAAGTGGGGGATAAGCGGCGTGGTGTACAATCTTGGGATCACGCTGTTCTGTTTTGGATTTGCTATTTCGCCAATGATGCTTGCTCCCTTTTCGGAAATCAATGGGCGGCGGCCGATGCTTGTGGGGAGTGGGATACTCCTTTCCGGTGAGTTAGGCTAGATGGATAGCTTGCTATGGCTCAGAAATAGGTTCACAGCACGTACATACAAGTAGCTGACTCTCTATATACGCGGTACCCAGTAACTCAACTAGGTTGTGCGGTCACGGATTCTTTTGCGGGCATGTTACTTGCTCGATTCTTCCTTGGTGTTGGAGGCTGTAGGTTTATATCAATTTTCCTTCTAACAAATCATGCATGTATATTTTTTTATACATACATTCATTCATTTAGCATGCAGAACTAACAAACTCGTTCCCAGCAACCTACTCCTCCATAATCGGCGGCGTCCTCAGCGACATCTACGTGACTGAAGAAAGGAATAAGCCTATGGCATTATTCTCCGGAGCCGTTCTCGTCGGCACAGGCTTGGGCCCCATGATTTCCAGTTTTATGGTCCACCACATCTCCTGGCGCTGGGTATATTACATGCAAGCAATCCTGTCTGCCGTGGTTACGGTGGCAGTTATGATGTTCTTTAACGAAACTCGTGGCAACGTGCTATTGAGTCGGAAAGCGCAGGTGTTGAATAAGTGGTATGAAAAGCTTGAGGACGCGGGATATGTTGGTGTTGATATGCCAGTCGAGGGAGGGAACCGGCAGAGCCAGCGAATTAGCTGGAAGGTTAAGTCTGATGAGGAGAGAGAGAGTATCGTTAAGATGGTTACGATATCGCTGTATCGACCATTTCGTAAGTGCGAGAATTGTTGTTGCTCTCTGTATATCATCTCCCGACTCTATCCCCACTCACCCCTAGATTTGGGTGTGCGCTTTGAGGCTTAGCTAAAACTGGTGAAATGGCGTTTTACAGACCTCCTTTTCACTGAACCCGTGATATTTTTCTTCTCGCTCTGGGTCTCCTTTAGCTGGGCGGTATTGTATCTTCAGTTCGGTGCAATCCCCCTTGTTTTCCAAAACAATCATGGCTTCAACCTGCAACAATCTGGGGCTGTTTTTGCATGTACGTTCCGTATTTCTTCAAACCACAGCCTCATTTAGCCCCGAAGCCAGTTAGCCCAATCTTCTAACAATTAAAACTCACCAGCAATCTGCATCGGCGGCATGCTGGCCACACTCCTCAGCATCTGGCAAGAGAAATATGTGCGGCGCCTGGGTAAAATCTCCAGCACGCCTGAGGGCCGCTTATACTTTGTATGCATCGAATCTATCCTGATGCCGGCTGGGATATTCTGGTTTGGATGGACGTCCTTCTCCTCGATACACTGGGTCGTTCCCTGCTTTGCCATCGGCTGTGCGACCATTGGGATCTTCTCAATCTACTTGGCCGTTTTTAATTACCTGGCGGATACATACCATCGGTATGCCAGTTCAGCCCTGGCTGCTCAATCGTGTTGTAAGGATCATGGATCGCGCCCCCAAGTTCAATTTCTTTCCTCCTCTGGGTTGTTTCCCTATTGGATACACAATGGATTGTATTATGTATATTCGCTTTTGCTTCTCGTGCCCTTTTTGCTAAGTGAATGTTTCTCCGGACAGGTCGAAACCTTCTCGGTGGGATATTCCCGCTCGTGGTGCGAGCTATGTACGTCAATCTCGGATATTCGGGGGCATCAAGCTTGCTTGGAGGAATTGTAAGTCGTTCCCGCCCTCGATGGTTTTTCTTCGCCAGCACACATCCCTCCCCGGATGTTCATACCCGTAGTCACACAAATACTGACAAAACCGCTGACATAGGGCTCATTACTCACGGCTGTGCCTTGGGTGCTCGTGTTCTTCGGCCCGAAAATTAGGGCGCGAAGTAAAATCGCAAGCGTAAGTTTGACTGCTGAGAAGTGTTGTTGTTTCCCAAATCCTACCTCGTCCCCTTTTATAAATCCGGCGATGATTTGAGAGCTTAAATGCTCGGTCTGGTCCCCATCTTCACATCATCGTCATCATCACTAACTAGTTGAACTTTTTGTTTTATTTCTTCTGTTGCAGGAAATCATGACTGAAGACGAAAGAGTCGGATAAACCCGTTATCATACGGGACCGGTGTCTCTTTTTCTCCTCCCCGGGCAAATGAAAAAAAAAAAAAAAAGTTCATTCCATGTCGCGCCGTAAATAATGAGTATATAGCTGAGTATAATGCACGGCAAACAAAGTAATTCATATAATATAATAATAATCAACGCAGAGCAACCGAGATCGAATATCCCCCTCCCGGCGATGACCCCGCTCCAACCAGTCTCTAGCTTTGTTTAAGCTTAGTATAGCCCAATCGTATCTATTCCCAAGGTTCGATCTTGCATCCTGTTACTAATGAGAATAACAATCCCTGTCCCTCGTTTGATTTCTCAGCAGCTCGTCGCAGTTCTTTCGCGGGAGGCGGAGGGGGGAGGCATGATTCAAAACAAGTGATGCGATATCATGGTCTGATTGTACCATTCAAATATGCAGCCAAGCCGGATGTATGTGGAGTTGCACTAGTCCTTTGTAGGATAGTTGAAGGTTGTATTGATAGATCTATCTACAAGAACATAATATAGTGGTGGGTCACGTGATCTAGTGGGATCGCTAACCGCAACGGCTGTAACGGTCAACACCTCCTCTCAAGATAACAAGAATCACATACAAAAACACTCAAACCACCAAGATAGTCTGTCAAAATCAAATACAAATGTAAAATTAAACATTCTCAACTTTTACATCTGTAAGATATAGTAAAATCATGAATTATGTAAATATTACAGTATTTAGAGATTTAATAAGTCTATTCACTACTATCTAAGTAATGAAAATGTATTTTAAATCAATGATTCTCTGATTCAACTGTTAATATAAAAAATGAAAATATATATTAATATACTTACTTCAAGCTGTAATAACTGTTATCTTTATAAGATTTATAATACTCTTATTATTAGTGAGAATCTGTATCAGTGATATAGTAATAAAATCAAGATTAATTATAAGATTCTGAATTTATATTATCTCACAGACTGTCTTACTAAGAGTCATATATTTAGTTTCATTAAAACTTAGAGATATACAAGATTACTTCACTAAATATTATAAAATCAGACTATCTGTGAGCTTAAAAATATAGCTGAATATTAATTTTCTATTATTATTTAAAAGATCAGCTTAATTGAAATCTGAGTAGCTGAAGAGTAGATAGAAATTATCAGAGAAATCAGAGATAATAAAGAAATCAGTAGAAACAGTAGAAATGATAGAAATAATAAAAATAGTAGAAATAATAGAAATAAATCTCTTATATAGACTGTATCTGTAAAAAATACTCAGATTTATAATTTCTTTTAAATAATATATAATATATAATAGAGTCTTTCAACATTGAGATATTAAATCAATATTTCATTGAGTGAGTAGTGAGATAGTATAAGTAATATCAGAATGTATTTTAACTGTAAAATATTATAAACAACTTATATTATATTAATATTACTGAATTATGAAATCAGTCTCTTTCTTAAATATAGAGAAATTATTAATACAGAATTCATTCTTCATTAATATTCTAATAATAGCTGTATTATCAAGATAGAAATCTTTAATAAGATATTTAATATATTAATAATATATTAAATCAATTCTCTTATTTGAATAATTAATCTTTATACTTAAATACTTGATTAACTGATATAGATTCTTGACTTTCAATTTCTCACTAAGTATACTTACTAGTTAATTAACATTCTCAGAAACTTTGAATATAATATTAAGATTATTAATATAGATTATTATATAGAGATAATATCTGAATATATAATATCAGAGTGCTGAATTATAGATACTGACTGTAAATTCAAGATCACTTAACAGAGTTATTAAGTAATTATATCAGATCTTCACTACAGAGTTCAGACTATATAAACTACTCTTAACTATGCAGATAAGTATTCTCAGTGAATCTATTTTAAATTCAGTGAGTTGTCTCATATAGATCTTCTTAGTGAGATGCTTATATAGATATATTATTACTATATTCACTTAACAGAGTGTTTAATTATGTAGTACTGCTAGACTGACCGTGTGATCATATCTAAGATCAGAACCAGATTTTTTGATAGTCTTATTATCAATTTAACTGATCTCATTACATGGTTTTAACATTAGATAGTAGTCTCATACTGTTTCAGTGAGACTTACTGTCTACTCTTGTCACATTTTTCAAATAAGACCATGATTTTCACTTCTCAATTTAAATTATTTTTATTGCTTTAAATGACTTTAAATCTCATTTGAGCATTATCAAAAAGTGTTACTTTTTAAAAAATTAAAAATAGTCTAAAAAAAACCTTAAAATGTCTAAAAATAGTAACTTTATGTTAAGAATGAGTAGACTGACCGTATAACCGTGTCTGAGACCAGGACCAGATTTTTTGATAGTCTTATTATCAATTCAACTGATCTCATTACACAGTTTTAACATTAGATAGTAGTCTCATACTGTTTCAGTGAGACTTACTGTCTACTCTTGTCACATTTTTCAAATGAAATCATGATTTTCACTTCTTAATTTAAATTATTTTTATTGCTTTAAATGACTTTAAATCTTATTTAAGTGTTACTAAAAAGTCTTACTTTTTAAAAAATTAAAAATAGTCTAAAAAAAACCTTAAAATGTCTAAAAATAGTAACTTTATGCTAAGAATGAGACTAAATGAAATCAAATGAAATCACTTTCTCATTTTTTTCAAGTCATGGTCTCATTTTAAAATCTGATATATAGTTACTTTGCATGTTTTTTTGATAGCCAGTTCCAGTGAGATTCACGCCAAGAAATGTATGAGATCAGATTAAATGAGATTAAACATGAAATTCATGATTTCAGCAGCCAGTCTAAGAATGAGACTAAATGAGATTAAATGAGATTACTTTCTCATTGTTTTCAAGTCATGATTTCATTTTAAGATCTGATATATAGTCACTTTACATGTTTTTTTGATAGTCAGTCTCAGTGAGATTCACGTCAAGAAATGTATGAGATCAGATCAAATGAAATCAACTGTGAAATTCATAATCTCAGCGGTCAGTCTAAGTTAGACTGACCGTGTGACTGTGTCTGAGACCAGAATCAAACTTTACAGTTATCATGTTATCTAAAAGTATTACTTCTGATTATGATTTGTGTTTATCACATTGATTTCAAATCATGTTATTTCTAATATTAAAGATCTCAGATTCACTTTTCAAATAAAAATCTAGTTCTGAATAAAGAATATGTTTGAATTCTTAGTCACATTTTCATTCTGATCTCATTATTGAGAATAGCATTAAATAAGACTATGAAATCACTTCTCACTTATATAATATCATAACATAGTGCTCATTTGTTGAAAATTCAATAGAGAGTATTATTAAATATCATTACTTTTCTAAACACAGATTATAATTCATATAATTTTAATTATAAAAAAAATATAAAATATAAAAAAAAAATAAAAAACAAAAAACAAAACAAAAACAAGAAAAAAAAAAAAAAAGAGAAAGAAAAAAAAAAAGAAAAGAAAAGAAAAAGAAAAAAATAAAAAATAAAAAAAAAAAATCAAGATTGCAGGGCTGCAGCACTCTTAAAATACTCACTTCTCAGAGTCTTTGCAATGTTTATTATCAACTGTGTATCTCTCACAGTGAGAGTAATATAGCTGTAATGAGTCATTATCTTAACATTATCTAATAAATAATCAGTATATATCTGTATAAATGTGAATATTTAGAAAATATACACTTAAAAAGTGTGGTCAGAATGAACTCTGCTGTCACTTGAATGACATCAAGAACAGAATGCTGAAATCAATGATTTTTCTCATTAATTTCATGAATAAGATAGATAAAGATAATCTTGAGAAATATAAGATTCTCTGACTTCTGATAAAAATGAATCTCATGAAGAGACTTTATTTTCATAATATCAGAAACTGAGTGTTATTAAAAAGTGTTACTTTCATGCAATGCACATGCACTTACTGCAATGATTCACTCTCTGTGTATGTGACTGAGAGTTGTAACTTTCTCACACTGCATGACTCTCTCTGAGATACTGATGCTGATTTATAATTTATACAGTCTCTCAGTTCAGCATGTACTGTGTGTATACAGCTCTGTATGCTGAGACTGTGTTAATCATTATAGTCTGATATGATACTCACTTTTTATAAGTCATGTTTCATTTAAGAGAGGGGAGAAGATGTGACTGTGATTTTATTGAAAGAGAATAAATAATTAGTAATGTTGAATGTAATTTGATTCTTCTGCATTTAAAATTTGATTAGTCTATACTCTTCAATTTGAGAGTTTTTAAGAGTGTTTTAATAGTTTTCATACCAGCTTGAACTTAGTGATGAGTTGAAGAAGAAGAGAAAAGAGAGAAGAAAGAAATGAGAATAACTTATCTTTATAATATGAAAATAGAGAATCACTGTAATCATTCTCTCTAGTAATAAAGATCTGTTTTCTGCATGTATTTCTGATATAGATTATATAATAACTGTATACAAAGAATATCAACACTGCATGTATTAAATGAAGATAATGTTACTATATAACACTGTAGCTGTTTCTGTATATCTCTGAAAGCTGTTAATATTTTCTTTATCTCTTTATATTTGATAAGTCAGTAATATATTTCAATACACTCTCTCTTTTATTATTATTATTATCATCATCATCATTATTATCATCACTATCATCATTATTAATATTATTACTATCATTATCATCATTACTATCATCATTATCATTATTATTATCATTATTATCATATTATTTCTAGCTGTCTCTTCTGCCTTCATCTCTCTTCAACACTCACTGAAATCAATTATGTTATTTCTCTTTAAATATTCTGTGATTCTGCAGATCATCAAGGCATGTGAGTACTATCACAGATTAAAGAGAGAGAAGAAGAAGGTGTTTAAGTAAGAGAAGACAGATTGTAAGACATGTTATGATACTTTAAAGAGACTCTGTAAGAGAGTAAAATGATAATAATTTTAAGTAATACTTCT